CCGTCGTCAGAGCAACCCGCCCAGAGGGTCTCCCTGAACCCTGTGTTCCGCGCGAATGGCCGCGTCCGCTGCATTTGCGGACGCGCAGCGACAACGAAAAAAGATGCCAAAGTACGCCGCCGAGCGTGCCGCCAATCTTGGACTCGACGATATCTTCGAGCTCGGCGAGCACGCGGCCCACGGACCCAGACCGCGCCACGCCCGCGTCGAGCGCCGCTAGCAGCGACACGGCCACCGTCTTGACCGTCTCGCCACAGTCACCGTCGCCCATGACCGTGTCCCAGCGCGTGAGGTCTGGCTCGGATGCCACGAGTGCCTCACACGCCGTGCGCAGCATGGCCTCTAGCCTGGCAGGCTCAACCTTGACGTCTTGCGCCTCGTCCAAGGCGGCGGCCCGCCTGCTCTTTGCCTCCTCGTCCGCCTGCGATGGCGCCGTGACAATCTGCTCGCCGCGTTTCCGCCTCTGCGACTGCAGACCCGTCATCGACTCCCAGTACGTGCCCGTATGCGCGTCGGCGAATCCGCGGATCTGTTCGACGCTGTACGAGCAATTGCCCGCCGCGGCCGATACGTTGATGACCGACACGCTAAACGCCGGCGCGTTGAGCGATGTCTCGAGAAACCCGGCAAAGACACGCACGGGCTCCATGCGCCACTCTGCTGCCAGCTGGTCGAGAAGCTCATCGACGAGGGCGCCCATCTCGAGGTGTGACATGCCGCCAAAGTTGCTGACGAGCAGGAACGTCTCGTCGCCCGGCGCAAAATGGACGTAGCCGCGCTCCGGGTCCGACTCGTCGAGGCAGTACGTGAGGACCTTGCGCACGAGCTCCTCCGGGGACGGCGGCGGCGAGAGTTTCTGGTACCCGGGCTCGTTGTGGGGACCCGTGCCGATCTCGACCTCGTCGGCGAGGAGCGCACCGTGCTCCGTCCGGCCGGGGACGTGACAGTGGTCGAGAGACGCCGCGATTGAGACAATTTGTTGCGAAAAGGCGACACCGAGGTCGTACACCTCATCTAGTGAGCCACCTGCGCCGGCGGCACCACCCATGACCTTGAGGACGCCAAGTTGGCCAGCAAGACCGCGTCGCCCGACAAGGCTGCCCCTCTTGCCGACCGAGACATCGTCGCCACAGATGATCATGCGGCAGTCGTGGCCTCTGGCGCGCGCCTTTTCATTGGCGAGGCCAAAGTGCAGGCAGTCACCAGTGTAGTTTGTGATGACGAGGATGGTGCCTTTGTCGGAAGGAACTTGGTCGATGGCGGATAGGATTTGCCGGGTACTTGGGCTTGCAAAGATGTCGCCCGCTACTGATGCCGAAAGCAGGTTCGTGCCCACGTAGCCTGACCAGGCTGGTTCGTGGCCGGAGCCGCCGCCACTGATGACGCTGACCTTGGACTTGTCAAACTTGGTATCGAAAACGACGCGGTTCGCCTCGTCGAGAGCCAGGAAGGGGTTGTAAGAGATGATGCCTCGCAGGGCTTTGTTCACAAGCCCATCCGGCGAGTCGAAAAGATGACGTTTCGACATGTCAGGATACAATGACAGAAAAATGGCTGGGATTTCGAGACGGAAGAAGTATTTTTGCTGCAGCAATTTGTACCATAGTTGGCGTTCAAGCCGCTGTATAAGTGCTTGTTTTCTGAGAAACGCCGACTTCGATGGCGAAGAGCCTCAACACTATATTGGTTGATCCGGTGCCGAACAGCGGCGGTCCTAATTTTGGCATCCGCGACAGCCATAACCTGTCGGCATCAGTCAGGCCAATGGACCAGGGATTTCCACGAAGGGAATGCCGCATCATCGCTTTTGGGATACCGGCTTGTGGCAAAATATTCGCAGGCGGCGATCCCCTGGCGCACCGACAGGTTGGTCGTGTTGGGAATAGGCCTAATCCGTCCAACCCCAGAATTTGGTCCAACAAGGCAATCTAGACCCCCTTAGACCATTCTATCCGCGGGGTTGATGACAAGCCTTGAGGTCAGATGTCGGATGAGAGTGTGTGGAGGATCGAGCTGGGTCGTGGGGAACGGGCTTCCCAAAGCGGTAATCCGTTGGACTTGATGGTGCTGTCTTCCAGCCATACCGGGACAACTCGATGTCAGATAGATATCCCGTACTCTGGAAACTCACAGGGAGCAAAGATTAGGACAGAGACGCATTTCCCCCAGAATTCGCTCTGGGCTTCTTGCAAAACAAAAACCGCCCAATACTACAGCACTTACCACTATCATGGCTGTTCTGTCCGAGTCCAGGTTGAGAATCGCCATCGGCTGCGACGTGAGTTTTTGATCCCCAAAGTCCACTCGCACATTTGAGACGAATCATTGCTCACAATATTAACCTCAGGACGCTGGCGTTCACTACAAGGACAAGATTAAGCAAGACTTCGAAAAAGACCCTCGTGTAGTGCTCATCGAAGACGTGGGAAGCTATACAGGTGATGACAAGACGGCTTATCCCCACCGGGCAGCGTCTGCAGCAAAGCTTGTGGCTGATGGCACCTGTGATCGGGCGCTGCTCATCTGTGGTACAGGGCTTGGCGTCGCCATTACAGCAAACAAAATCAAGGGCGTACGAGCAGTGACAGCGCACGATAGTTTCTCGGTTGAGCGAGCCGTCTTGAGCAACAACGCCCAGGTCCTATGTATGGGCGAGAGGGTCGTGGGATTGGAGCTTGCGAGGCGCCTGGCCAAGGAGTGGTTGGGGTACAGGTTCGATCCGCAGAGCGCGAGTGCCGCCAAGGTGGATGCTATCGTGGCGCTGGAGAGCGATTCCGACTGAAACAAAACAATGTGAATCGACTGATACAGACTTGAGTATGGATGCATCGGTATTTTTGAGCCAAGCGTGCTGTGATAGAATTAGCAAGGCTATGGAATCAAACGAACGCAGCCTCCCCCGGTCCCATTATGTGTGAGCCGTTTTTTTTTTTCACGCAACCCATCATGATAGCCCCCATCCATTGTCGTGATTCCCAAAAAGTCATACACCGTCCAAGGCATTCCCTCTCTCTTCCACGTGTCTAAAAGACGGTGCCGTCGCTGTCGATAAGAATGGGCGGCTCCTTGGTATTTGGCCTGCTGACCTCCGCAATCTCGCGGCCCCCCTGTAGCGTAGTTAGCATGGATTGTCGGTTTTGGGAAACTGGGCTCTCTTACCTTCCAGCTACCGGCCTCAAGTAGCTGCGCCAAGGTCAACTCGTTCCCGCCGAGATCATTCCTCAGGCTCTTGTTCACCTCAATGAGCAATTTGTCCAAGAGTCCCACCGTCACGCCGCGCCATTCGACAATCACGTCGTCGCTCGGCTCAAACATGGGAGCAACCTCAACACCCTTCACCCCAGTCCTGCGACAGTAGTCGGCGTAATTCTGTAACCCCCGCTCTGCATCGTCCGGCTTCAGGGATCAGCACCCCTGTATCCACAAAGAGCCCGCCGTTGCGTACTCTGGCAGGCCGGTAAGAAGTTCGACGCCCGCAAAGGATTGACTCCCATGCTGCTGTCATGGGCTGCATGAGACTGTAGCAGAATGGCGAAAATGTGTTGGTAGGAGAGGACGTTTGAGGCATGCTGCTGCAAGGCAGGCATCGCCTAGGGAGATGCCGTTGATGGCGGTGCGTGAAGGTGGCCAGATGGGCGCTAGGCCGTTCATCAGGACGTTCCAGAGCGTGGGTAGAGCGACAATCGGCATGGAGGAGGCTTGAGTGGAAGGATGGGACAGCAAATAATCTAGCAATTGTTAGTGATCATTACTTTGACCCAAATTCTCCGGGTTGACATACCAACCATACGGCCAGGGCGGCCGTCCCTTCCGAAGAATTCTGGTTTCTTCTCGAGAGCATCGGCGAGTCTGATGAGAAGCTGCGTGCGACCTTCTACGCCCGCCATCTCGTTTCCGGGCTTGGATTGCAGGCCGGCCGCCAGTTTCTCGGGCGTCAGGGTGAGAAGACCATCCGTATCCACCTGATATTTATTGGACTTGTCGCTTGAGAACATGCCACTCTTGAACATCTCCAAGCTTGCAACGGCAATACCTTCTGACCGCCTGTATATGCGGTTGTTCTCTGTGCTCTTGTAGCTCCACTGCGTGCCTGCGCCGGCGTCGAGTAAAACGCTGACTAGGAAAAGGTCTACCATGCGTCGGCACTTTTCCGTATTGTCAATGTCGTCAGGGAACGTGGACAAGAGATGCGCGATACGGTCACGGCCACCAACGCAGAAATGCTGGTGCCGGCCGTGGCTCGGGATCGAGGTGAACGGTGCATCAAAGTCGCGCTGCAGCACAACACCGTCCGGTTAGCATGCGATGTACTGGGTTTTGCTTCGGAGTCGTGGTCTTGCTGGTCCTCAACGCACCTTGATGATACACGAAACAAAGCTCACAACGTCGGGGAACTTGTTCAAGTCGACATCGAAATGGTTCAGTTCATTGCGTAGGGCCTTGTCCGTGACAATCCTGCTCCTCTCGCGCACGGCGCCGAGGCTTCGGAGGTAGCCCGCAGGATCCAATTGAGGGTCGGGAGGTCGCGGTAGGTCGATCTTGGGGATCGACACCGGAGAGAAAGGCGTCAAGGGGGTGTTGGGGTTGGTATTGCCCCCCGAAACTCTGCCGAAGCCGCCACGAGTGGTTCCAGGCGGTGACTTAAGGCTTGAGGCGCCAGAGTGAACGCTGACGTCGGACGTGTTGATCGACGGCTTGGCGTTGGCTGCCACCCTGGGAACTTTCTCCTTGCGGGAGAAGAGACCCATCGTGGTTGGCGGTGGTTTTGAGGTCGGAGGACGGCGGCAGTGGGGGTTATACAGCGGTGGTGCTGGCTGATAAGACGTGGATGGTGTAAGGCGGGGTCTTGATGGGAACCGCGTCGAGGTGGTGGTGGTGGTGGTGCTGTCGGCAGGCCAAGGCCACGGAGATGTTGCACAGAGACTGAACAGGCGAAGAAGGCTCCTCGGTCGATATCAAGAACCTCGGTGAAGATGGTTGAAAAGCGAAGAAAAAGGGTTGGGTGAGGGACGGCGTCCGAGGTTCAGCTGGCGAAGGGTAGGCCAGAACAAGCCGGGTCGGGCCAGGTCAACACGGTAATTTTAAAGGCTGCGGGGAACTGGGGGTCGTTGTCCACGGGCCCTAGTTTACGGCCGCCGTAGATCCAGATCAGGGATCGAGGCAGAAGCAAAGAGACTGGCTTTTTTTTCGGAGGGTCTCGAGAATGGCCTGTTCGCTGTTAGCTGCAAATCTCGTCGGACACAAACAGGCGCGCGCTTGATCCGACGTATGTGTGCCGGTGAAATTGCTCTTAGACGTCTCTCAGATGAGACGGCAGTTTGTACTGGGCCGTCTGATCTGCACCGTCCGCCGGATGGTCGAGCGGAATGGATTTGGGGTCGCGGGTGCTTAGTGCGATCAACTGACTCTTTACTAAACAGACAAAGGGTCTGTCGTCCTGTAACTAGTGGGATAAGTAGCGTGCTAGCAGGCGGCTAGGCGTAGGCAGCACAGCAGACTGGCGTGACTAGATTGATAAGACGATTCAGGGCGTGTCCAAACAAATGGACCGGCGCTGTCCAGAACTCGTTCCTTCGGAATTTTCCTCTAGGGCGGGGGGTCGTCGCCGTTGAGTAAGTTTACGTGCCCGAGCGGGCTATCGGGCGCTGGGCGCTGGGCGTTGATGGGTGGATGAATCGTTTTGGCTTTCGGAGAAGGAAGAAATACTGCCTAGCTATTTGTGTATATCGGCCAGGAACAAGAGAGTCTGGTCGGTGATCACGCGCAGAGCAGCCAATAGTTCTGCTCGGGGCAATGCAGCGCGGGAAGATGCGTCTGTCGGAAGAAGCCTGTTGGTCGAGGGACGATTGGGGGTCAAAGGCAAGCGAATTGCGGCAGGATGAGACAGCAGACGTCAATTGACCACCATCCAAGGGAATTGGAGGAAAAGAGGAAAAAGAAAAGCAGATGGAGGGAAGAAACGAGACAGCGAATTGGAGAGTGCGAGTTGGTTTGCATGAGGACACTGGAGAGCAACACGAAATGGTAGCAGTCCAACACTAACGATAGCCCCTCGATCTCTTGCAACCGAGCAAGGAAGGGGACACAGAGTACCTACCTAGCGAACCTACCAAACTGCCTAGAACCTGGTCGATAGGCACGGCAGCCGCAGCGGCAACAGCAGGGTAAAGACCGCCTGCTGAAGGACAGGGAGGTATGTTTACTGCAAAGAGGCGAGGCAAGGGACAGGGAGCCCATGTGAGGCAATTGCCCTGGGGCCTTGGGTTCCTACTCCTGCAGTGCGCGGTGCAGCTTCCCTGCAGCATACACGCCGCCAGCGTGGCAGGTGCTGCTCTGGTGCAGCTTCTCTGGCAAGCCACGCCTGTCTTGGTAAGGTAGGTAAGGTAGGTAGGTTCTGGCATATGATTGCATCACTCCCACGGCATCTACCATCCATTGGTCTTCTTCAAATCCCAGATACTGTTCTGCCAAGGTGAGTAGGTTGATACGACAATCGACATTGGAGGGATTGATTGCATCCAGTAGGCTCTGAACCAGGCCATTTGTTATTCCGGCTTCGCCTTTGTGCTTGGTCTTCGGAGCTGCTCGACGCCAGCACCAAATCCCATGGAAGAGCCAGCGCTGCGGGCTCACCTAACAGCCCGCACGCCATTACTGTCGACATTGGCCGGGAATTGGTGGGCAACAGCTGTCCCATTTTTGTCCTGGCGCGACCGAGCGAAATTAATTACGGACCACGGAAGGAGTTCCCGTGTAGACTCGCCCGCCTGCAATCCGCCTTTCGAGACTGCTCGGGTAAGGTACCCAGGTAGACAGAGATCGTTTGTCCGTCCTTGGATCGCAAGGTTTTCCAATCTTTCATATCGCTTATTCTAGTTCGGAGGCTCTACAATGAGCGCGACAACGGCAACGTGTCTCTGTCCGAAAGACCAACCACCACCTCAGAGACAGTAAAAGCGTGTGAGACCTTCAACGACCCTCATTGTCAGGCCTGCCACGCCTTTGACCCTTCATTGACCCCTCTTTCTCGATCAGACACACAGAACACAGGCCATATCGAAAGGCCGACACCATGGTCCTGGTCCTGGCGACGTCGCATCGAAAAGGGGGCAAGCCAGGTTCGCCCCGGCGCACTGCAGCTCAACATGCAAGGGGACGGGAGACAGTGCGTCTCTGGTGCTGCTCGAGCCCAGCGTCAACGAATACCGTCGCCCGCTAAGGCGTACCCTGGTGTACACTGCATCCTGAATCCTTGGAGCACCCCTTACTACCTGCAGCATCCTGTGGCCTCGATGTTGACAACCTTCCAGAAGACGATTCATGACAGTCCCAGGTCGGTCGTCGCCTCCGACGTTACTAACGCCACGGTCGCTGCTAGGCAACTTCTGGTCCGCCCCTTCGGGCATGGCAACGATATATCGAACATGGCCGGGCAGGTCATGCTCTGCAACCAAGCCAATCAAAAAGCGGTGCACGGCTTGCGATGACAGGTTCCCAAGTAAACAAACAGTCTCGCCCTTCGCATCGTTGAATGGGCGAGCCAAGATGCATCTGCAGTATACCTCGGGGTGCGGACATCATTCGTTGGCTGCACCAACAGGAGTAATATTGCAGGAGGGTCTCCGGCCTTGTTAGCTCGGGATCTCCCAAGCTCAGGCCATTCTGCAATCCGACTATCCATGGTCTGGTCAGGTTGCTCGGTCGAGGACTGCCTTGAGGCTTCATTCGGCGCAGCGGATCGAATTGTGAGAACCGACGGGATCCTTAACAAGTGATGCACCGATCGAGACCAGGGACGAACACCCGGTGCCTGCGCCAGAAGCCAGTGCCTTGCATACACGACATCCCGGAACATCTCGCCTGGGAACGGCTCCAGCCAAGGTAGTAGCGTAACCTCGGAGCTTGAACCACACTCCGCGATCTGGCTGAGGGGACATGTCACCGTGCCATCTAGATGACATATCGTGTTGTTCACGACTCATTTGTCACGCCACTTTACGTTGACGATTGGAATGATCCTCAGAATCTTTCACCATCCTGTTGCTGGCGGGCTTACCTGGCCATAGGTCTCGTGCGGGGCTCTGGAGACATTTGGTATGCAAGACGATATGCAGGAGAGAGCTTGGACAGCACACGACCCGGACAGCCGTTGTCCTTTGGTTGGCGAACGGATTTTCATGCCTATCCACATGTTTCCTCTCCGAGATCCTGTTGCCTCAATCTGCCCCGTACAGTTATTGTGGTGAATGTCGTCGACGGGGTGTTTCTCCTGCAATGTGATCTGAGCGCTAGTGTGCATGCATGCTGCAGCCTTGATGTTTTATTTATTCTCTTCCAACACCAGACCATGCTGTTTTCGTTTTGGTGGTACAAATGCTTCTTGTTCAACGTCCGCGAAGATAACCAAAGCGGCCAATGACCGGGCGCTGTTGGCTCCATGTACATGCGAAATCTTGTCAAGAACCCGTCCCTCATATGTAGTGTACATTGCCTGCGACTGTTGTCATCAACCTATTTCGCTCTCCTCTTCAGATCAGCCTTGAAGCGCCTCTTGTCCTCTTCGGCACGCTTCTCCTCCCATGACTTATTGCTCTTCTCGGCCTGCTCCTGCCGAGCTTGGTCGACAAAGGAGCCCATGCCACCCTTGGCTCCGTGGACCGTCTGCTTCAGGTCTGCGACAGCGCCGCTGAAGACGTTCTTGGGCTTCTCCTCTACGGCCGTCACATCGATGGTGTTGGCATCAGTGGAGCCCGTGCGCTTGGTGGGCGGGTAGAACATAGCGCCGCTAATGCGAGAGGTCGAGGCGGGGAGAACGGGCCTGACGAGCTCAGGGAGGCCGGTAGCACGTCGGAAGGCCGGGTTCTGGAAGAGAAGGTTCTGGCCCCAGCCGACGAGGGTCGAGCAGAGGAAGTAGAACTGAACGGCGGCGGGGAGCCAGATTGTGAAAATGAGGGAGAGGGGGACGAAGATGTACATCATGAGCTTCATCTGAGCCTGCTGCTGGACGGGAGCAAACTTTGTACCGGACTGTCTCGGATGTCAGCTACCTCTATTTGGCCTCGAGACGGGAGCGACGATGAAAGTTACCTTGAGCATGGCAATCATGGCAATGGGCGCGGCAACGGGCAGAATAAAAAAGGGGTCAGACACGGACAGGTCGTTGAACCACAGGAGGCCGCCGTTCTCCAATGACGGAACGGGGATCTTGGCCATGTTGTTGAGCACGATGAAGAGACCGTAGCTGAAGGGGATCTGGACGAGGCCCCAGAGAGCGGCAAACGGGTTGACGCCCTCGCGCTTGTGGATGTGGTTGATGGACTGACGGGCGTCCATCATGGCCGACTTGTCGCCGCTCTTCATCGAGTCCTGCATCTTTTGCTTCAGAGCCGCGTACTGGGCGTTGCCCTGGAGCTGCTGCATTTTGGCGGACCCCTGCTGGGCGTTGAGTGTGGGCTTCAGCAGAAGCAGGCGCAGAAGGAGGACAGTGCTACCAATCGTGGCCCACCAGGGCATACCGGTGTAGATGTACACATGCTCGAGGATCCATTGCATGCAACTGGAGGGGCCGTAGCCAAAGTCGAGGCCGATGGCCTTGAGGTAGCCAATCTGCTCGGGCATCTGGGCAATGGTGGTGTCGGTGAGGAGCTCGAAGGTCGAGGCATCGGTGACAGGAGTGGGTGCCGACGCGACGCCCTCGGCAAAAGAAGGGGTGGTAGAGGCAACGGCAGCTTCGGGAGGGGGGATTGATGCTGTCGTGCTGGCAGGAGCCGTTGTGTCGACGGCGGCGACCTCGGGGATCGTAGCCGGTGCTGGTGTGGCCTCAGTCTTGGGGCTCCGGGACCACAGGGAGAGTGTTCGGGTGGAAGAAAGCGAGCCGGCGACGACGGTGGTGCGGACAAGACCTGACGTCTTTCCTGTTGGCCTCAGCCCCGACCATGATGTGCTGGCGATGCGTGAAGTGGTGCCAAACTGTCGACCATTGGATAACCTGGAGGTCTGCTCAAGTCAGGGGGACGTCAGAAGATCAATTGTTGGGTTTCTCTCACGGTCTGTGCCTGAAGATACGCCCTTCCCGTGGAGAGCGAACGAAGTGCTCCTCTGCTAGGCAACATTTTGTCGATCTGAGGCCGTCGGTCAGGCTGGATGCAGGGTCAAGGTTGAGGCTTCGCGAGTTCGAGGCTCCAGATTTTTTTGGTAACGCGCCGGGAGAACCTCGGTGGAGTCGCCAACACCGCTGAGACGCTGCGGAAATGGGTCAGTGGTGCACGACCAACAAGATGACGGCCGTGACATGGTAGTCTGCTTAGAGAAATCCATTCCACTCTGACATCTGTCATTTAATGCAATTATTTATGATATTTTTGGGGGGAACTATAAATCCCTGAGACCCATTCCGAGTTTGGTTCTAGCGGATCGTTTCCAGCTGCCCGATGCTCTGAGCTACTAGTCTGTACCGCCGTGGCTTGCCCTTCTACCAATGTTACAAAAGACGCCCTTGCTGCAATGTCATCTATCCCGCAGATTAATTGGCGTGGTGAACTGCATGATTGGCCATCCGTGTTCCCGTGTGAGGCTTTCAGCTCGCAGATATATATTCATAACAAGAGCCTCGATGCACCCCTTGCGGCTCGCAGTGTTGTGATACACTTTCTGTCCAAAGCTGCGAGTGCTCATGAGCTTTCGATTGATGTCATCTTTGCCTTACTCCCACCCACCGAGTCATTCCAGGCTCGTCAGGTCGTCCAGCTCGGTTCGCGGTGTGCGTTTCTCGCGGATCTCGAGGCCGGGGCCAATGGCGTGGGCACGGCGCGTCGTGGGGAATACCTTCACTACAGTTAGCATCGGGCCCGAAAATCTCGTCGAATACTTGTGGATCGTCGACGCAAAGTGCATCTTGATACCTCCCGGGCGATTGGGACGTCCGTACCTTAGTGCCTCCCCATCCTAACCGAAACGCGGCCTCGTGGGCAAACAGCTCTCCGAAACCCAGCATCATGCCGTTGATGAACGGCAAGAACATGTTGATGGCAGCACCTCGCAATAGGGACCACACCGTGGGCGGCCTGTAGAGAATAACGGGGGAGGAAGATGAGGGAGGGGACGCAGAGAGGTCCTCGCCTTGCGAATACTGTTCACTGTCGGATCGAATGGTGACGCCAGACTCGGCCAGAGGGTTCGCGAATTCATCCGCCATGATGGGCCGTTTCGGGAGGAAAGTCTACAGAGGCAATGTCGAAGGCCGGCGCGATGGTAGTGGTTGGCAGTCGTTGGAGGCACCGCGCTGACCGACTGTGGCCGGGAAGCTCTTTCGTCAAGCCGAGCGCAAGCCGGGGTAGGTGGGTGCATCACCACGAAGATGGAGGATGACATAATCACGGAGTTCGGTGGCAGACTGATCCGGGTCATGGTGGGGTAACGGCGTCGTTGGGTCCATGCTCCCTCCCCACGTCACCCGCGCCCGCCTAGAGCTCCAGTGAAGGCCATCTAGAAGGTACGATCGATCACAACAGTGGTGCCTTGCCTCTGACATATTTTCCTTTCAACAGTTGACTCTTTTGGAACATCACAACATCAAGTCAAAAATTCTATATCAGCCAAGAAGAAGAAAACGCATTTTCGAGTATAGGCGCGACTGAATTGCTTCATCCCAAGCCTACCCCACCGCCACCTGTCGTTTCCTTCCACCATGTCCGGCCAGGACGATACCGCGCGGGCACAAGCTCTCCAGGAACTCCACCAATTGACTGGTTACTCGGAGGAAAGGGTAAGACGCGAACTCATTGCGCCGTAAGCACCCAATCTGACGTACCCAGTGCATCGGCCTCCTTGAAGCTGCCGACTGGGACTTTGGCCAGGCCGCCCAAGCCTTCTACCTCGACCAAGACCGTGAAGACGAGCCGTCCAACGCACCCTCAGTCCCTGACAACTACACGGGCCCGCGGACCCTCGATGGACGTCCCGCTCCCGAGTCCCAGCGTCGTGCGCCCGCTCCTGCCAAGAAGACACAGAAGAGGAAGGGTGTTGCAACCCTGGGGTCTTTGGGCGGCGGAGCACAGCATGATGACGATGATGATGACGACGATACGGATGATGTCGATGAAGGCCGTAACCCGCGTGATTTATTTGCTGGCGGCGAGAAGTCAGGCCTTGCTGTTCAAGACCCCACGAATCAGGGCGACGGGGGACCAATGAAGATCATCAACGATATTCTAGCCAAGGCGAAGGCGTACGTAACTACCATTGACCGTATGCCAAAGCAAATACTTACAAATGTATAGGAACGCTGCCAAATCAGGCTCGAATTCTGAGGCAGCTGCCGGTCCTTCTCGCGCCCCCAATACGTTCCGTGGAGCCGGTCGCTCGCTTGGCGGTGACGGTGTCGAGAGCCGTACTATCCCCGATCCCAATGCTGCTGAGGACAACGATGCTTCGAACGACGAGCCGCAAGAGCGCTCTCTCCATCTCTGGCGTGATGGGTTCAGTATCGATGATGGTGAGCTGCACCGCTTTGACGACCCTGCCAACGCGGCCGACCTTGCGCAGATCCGCGCCGGTCGTGCTCCACTCCATCTCATGAACGTTCGATATGATCAGCCTGTCGATGTCAAGCTCCACCAACACGAAGAGAACTACCGCCGTCTTCCTCAGACTTACAAGCCTTTCGGTGGAGCCGGTCAGCGGCTTGGCAGTGAAGTACCCGGCGACGGCAACGCATCTGCTGCTGCGGCTGCTGCTCCAGCTCCTGCCGCTACTGCCTCGACACCATCAACACCCTCGACAACCGTCGATGAGAGTCTCCCGACTCTAACGTTGCGCATACAGTTGCCTGACGGCAGCAGGCTCCCCGCCCGGTTCAACACGACCCAGACTCTCGGCGATGTCTACGGCTTCGTTTCACGTGCTTCCACAGACGTCGCAGCACGGCCCTGGGTTCTGGCCACAACATTCCCCAACAAGGAGCACACGGACCGTAGTCTGGTCCTGGGCGAAATGCCCGAGTTTAAGAAAGGCGGCACAGCTGTCGTCAAGTGGGCTTAAATACTACATGATACGATATTGCGAAATGACAGACATTGACACGGCGTTTTGAGAAGGCTGAGCGGCACGCTCGCGCGGCTGACAGCTGATGGTTAGCTCTCAGCCTAGGCCACGATTCGGTATGGGCAGGTAGATCAGTTGAGCAAATAGACTCAACGAATAGTCCCATTTTACCCCACCAGTCCACATGTCGCGTGAGAAAGCATTACTGTTCGCGGCTAACTTATTGTTCTTGTATGTTCTTATCTATACGATGTGACATTGGTATCATTGAATTCCATCAAACGCCATCCCATCCCATTCCTTCCCATCCACGCAGTCCGTCTCTTCCCCACAAGTCCGCCCCCTTAGGAAGCCACGCCCTGCGCTGCAAGCGTCGCCGGCCCGTCCAGGAACTTGAAGTGCTCAATGGCAATCTGGCAGTTCAGCATGGCGGCGTTAAAGCGGGCTTCGCCCGGCGGCAGCACGACCATGAGGTACGTGTTGGTCGTGAACTTGAGGATGAACAGATTGAAGCGCAGGCCAGCCTTGTGTTCCATGCGGACGAACTGCTCAGCGTTGCGCGGCGTGCCGGTGAAGCGGCTGATGCTCTGCTTGAAGTGCTTCATAATGTTGGACATGCGCTCGAGGCGGTCCTCGGTCGGGTTGCGCAGGCCCTCCGGGGAGGTCCAGGAGGAGACGGCGAGGAAGGAGGTGCGCTCGAAGAGGAGCAGCTCTTCGGCCTCGATGGCGGTGCCGAGGTTGGCGAGGTTGCGCTCAATGGTCGCGAGGTTGGGGACGAGGTCGTGGATGATGGAGGCCCAGGCCTTGTAGAGGGACTGGTCCCAGATGGAGGTCGCAAAGGGGGTGATATCGGGCGTCGCGGCGGCGCTGGCGAGGGGGCTCGTGTCGGTCGGGGAGGCGTCGTCGGCCGCGGCGGCGGAGAAGCCTATGCTGTGGGCGTATTCGGCCGTCTTCTGGCGCACGATGCGGACGCGCTCGTCGTAGACGGACTCGCGGTGGGCGGGGACGACGAGGTCCATCTTGTGGATGAGGACGTAGATGCGGGCTTGCGGGGAGAACTGGAGGAGGGCGGAGAGGATGGACACGTAGGTGGCGAGGTCGCGGTCGACGTCGCGAGACTCAATGTCGAAAACGTAGATCAGGACGCCGACGTTGGAGAAGACGTGGACGCGTTGCTGCGAAAGATAGTTTTCCATAAAGGCCTCTTGGCCGCCGCAGTCCCACAGGTTGAGGGTCAGGTTTCCGAGGAACTTGACGTGCGAGAGATCAATGTCAATGGTGGCGCCTCTGCACATGGATCATCAGCACAATGTCCACCGAAATTATTCTGGCGCAAAGACTGACAGCCTGCGTGTGTCGCGTGCGATATAGTTGCTGAAGATGATGCTGCGCATGCTGGATTTCCCTGAGCCACTCTTGCCCATCAAGAGGACCTTCTTCTTCTTGGGCTTCTTGACCTCATTCTTGGTGGCATTGGCCACAGGAAGGCCGGATTGGCTGTCGCCATAGTTGGCACCGTGGTCAGCCATTGTGTGGGGGGGGGGTGGTTGGGACAAGCTCTGGAGCCGCAGTCTTGGTGATGAGGCACAAGAGCTAGACTTCGCTGCGGCGGGGGAGATCAAAGCTGCGTTTGACGAATGACGCCGGTGTGGGGCGCCTCAGTGAGCTCCGGGGGATGGGGGATGGTGATCGGAACAATGTGTCACCGTTTCCGCCGTGTCGGCCCCACACCGGCTTCAATATCAATGCCACCCACACCGGCTCTTAGCCTCCTCTTGCATCCCTGAATCAATGTTAGGGAGGGGAAGAACCCGTGCGGAGTACCGCGGAGATTCCTCTCCACTTGGTCGTGTCTCTAGCATATGGCCCACTTGCAGTATCCTCTCAGCATCCGATATGTCCCTGCCCTGGTTTCTAAGGTACCCGAGGCGTCACACAAACTGCGCAGTCAGGTGAGCAGTGAGGAACAAGCCCAACTGTCAGATGTCAGGGGTATGTTCCTTATTCGGGCCCATTACGACTTGGTACGGTCCGGCAGACCGTAAGCAAAACAGTGAGCACGACGAATTTCACACGGACCAAAGTAGGAGGCACAAGACGGAGGTCCGCCACGAGCTGGGGAACCTGGGAATCTGCCCGATCTGGCAACTCGGTAGACACAAGCTCAGTGCCGGGAATGAAAGCCACGACATCAAGGCCAGGCCTTCTCGGCAGTCTCACCTGCCTCGCAGGATCCCGGCCAGTGCGATCCGTGGTCTGTTGACCATGCGAAACCTGCAGACAAACGGCGCAGAACAGTGCAGAGTTCTCGAGGTCCAATGCCACCACGGCATTCCTCCAATGGGAAGCTAGCCCGGAAGGATTCCAGGAGAGCACAACGGGAGATCCTCGGCACCTGACAAGACTCTGAACTGATATGGGCATGGCTGGCCACAGTGTGAACTTGCAAGCGTTGCGGCTCGCGCCGGGTTGCAGGTCCGCATGGTATCCTCACATACCTTTTTGGGACGTGCCTTGACTCCAGATGCTGCTTGGGGTCAGGCTCTGTCATGTTTCGCGGGGTAACATGGGGAAAGACTGGGAGGCAAAAGGACCTTGGGGATCGACCTGCATGTTCGCGTTGCAATCATGATAAATAGGACGGGGCATCGCATCAGCCCAAGTTCGTGTCTCTCGCCCTCATTCTCGACGCACTCTTCCTCCTCTCCTACACCACTGCCCTGGCTGGTGGTCCGCTCGAAGTTGATCTGAGCTGACATCTTCGTCCTGTCCTGCTAAACCCGCCACCATGGGGATCAACACCGGCAGCTCTGCCGACCCCATTGTCACTCGGCTCGTAGCCGAGGACAAGGTGCCTTTTTGGAGGAAGCCAAACCTTCGAATCATGTACATTTGGCTGTTCCTCTGTTGCATGGGCGTCGAGATGACCTCTGGTTTTGACTCGCAGCTCATCAATACGCTGCAGTTCTCCCCCAACTTCAACAAATGTACGTCACCGCAAGAAGCCGTTTGCAAAAGAAGTTGCTTGCCGCAAGACGCGAACATGGTTGAACCCTTGCTGACCAATGCAGACTTTGGCGATGGCTACCTGAACGAGGACGGGAAGCCTGCCATCGAGCCCAGCATGTTGGGATTCATCTCGTCCTGCTACCAACTTGGATCTATCTTGGGTGTGCCAATTGCCCCGTGGTTCAACCAGAAGTACGGCAGGCGGTGGTCTATCATGACGGGTTCTATCATCATGGTCATCGGTGCTCTTCTGCAGGGTTTCTCTCAACACAGTATGCATGCCATCCATTCCATGCAGAACCCCTGAGCTGACGAATCTTTCTCTCTTCAGTTGGCATGTACATCATCTCCCGCATGCTGCTCGGCCTCGGCATCGTGTTCGCCATTATTTCGGGTGCCGCTATGATCGCCGAGCTTGGCCATCCGAAGGAGCGCCCTGTCCTAACATCCCTCTTCAACGCGAGCTGGTACATCGGCTCCATCATAGCCTGCGCCATCTCGCTGGCGACCGTTGAGATCAAATCACACTGGAGCTGGCGCATTCCATCGCTGCTTCAAATCTGTCCATCAGTGCTGCAGATTGCTACGGTTTTGTGAGTTGACAACACAGCTGCTCGTGCATTGTTCATTGCTTATCCACATACAGCCTGCTGCCCGAGAGTCCGCGATACCTCATCAGTCATGACCGAGACGATGAAGCCTACGCAATCCTCATCAAGTACCACGCAGAGGGTGACGTCAACTCCGAGCTTGTCAGGGCTGAGATGGCTCAAATGAAGGCTACCATCGCCTTGGAGATGCAGCACTCGAAACAATCATGGTGGGACCTATTCAGAACAGCCGGCATGCGACGCCGTGTACTCATCACTGTCTTCATTGGCTTATTCACGCAAATGTCTGGAAACACCCTGCTCTCGTACTATGCAAACCTCCTTTTCGATATGATGGGATTCACCAGCACCTACGCCAAGTCGAGAATCAACATTGCCAACCAGTGCTGGGGCTTAATCAACTCGACCGTCATGGCTCTCATCGTCACGCGTTTTAGGAGACGATGGATGTACATGATTTCCGCCACAGGCATGCTCCTCGTCTTCACCAGCATGACCATTTCCTTCGAGCGCCTCCGCTTTGCCAAGGACAACGGTTTCAAGAACCAATCCGCCCAATACGCGGCTCTGTTCTTCTACTTTGCTTACTCGCCATGCTACAACATGGGTAACAATGCATTGACCTACAGTGAGTTTTCTCTCGGAACGAATGACCAACTTGTACACATCACTGACATTTTTCAGCATATCTCGTCGAGCTCTGGCCCTACGCTCAGCGCACCATGGGTATCGGTGTCCAGCAGATCTTCGGCAAGGCCGGCGGCTTCTTCTCCACCAACGTCAACCCCCTCGCCCTCACTGAGCTCGACTGGAAGTACTTTGCTATTTACTGCGCTTGGATCTTTTTCGAGCTCGCCTTCATCTACTTCATGTACCCCGAGACGTACAACCGCACCCTCGAGGAGCTGGCCTTCTGTAAGTGACTACATGGACCCCAGGCTACGATATGTTTGTGTCGTTTTTCCAGCAGGCTGACGTGTGATACAGTGTTTGAGGACAAGGCAAACTACGACCAGGCCGCTGCAGCTGTCACGAAGCAGCTTGATGCACCGGATGTGCAGCAGGTGGAGAGTCGTGAAGTGGGAGAGCCCCCTAAGTCGCTGGCCTAAATGTGGGACAAATTGAGTGAAATATGATATCTTCTGCTGTTATGCCATTCAGCACATATGATTACTTTTAGCTCGACACGCACCATTCGTTCAGATACCTTTAAGACGAGAATTGGAAACACGTGGAAACATGCAATTCTTCTTAGCGTTCCGCGTTGCTTGTATCGCTCCCATAAGAAGAGCTACATATTGAGCCGTTTACTTGCTCGATGTCCTCAGTCAGATCTCTGCCTCAGATATATGTTTACACCCCTCACTTGACAGCCCATGGTCGACCAGACATGTAGGTTGCATGATGCCAGAATGTGGCAGCTTGGCCCTAGGGAACTCATTGCCTTGCTTCTGAACCCGTGCCACTTAGAGTAACAAATGAAATCTGTTCATAGGACATTCAATCCAGCCGCTTTTATGTTCAGAGGCACAGATGCAACTGTGGGGAACAGGACGCCGTTTCGTGGATGCCTGGAGTTCAATCCCAACCTGACCCTTCGTCAAGTAAGGTTCATTATGGCACATATCTCGTCTTGTCCAGCGCAATTTTTAGAACTCCTCGACTTCTTCACGTTAACCAAAGAACCAACTATGAATACGTTCCAGTTTCGTACGTCGCCACACTCCACCTCTTGTTGCCATTTGTCACAATCGCGCCTGTGACTCTTTCGGCTCCAGGATTTTCTGTTCCTCGTGAGATGCCCAGGAAAAGATGGAAAGTCTCAGCTAGCTAATTCCATCTTATCAGTAACGTATGACAAGGTTTACGACGATGGCAATCGATCGTTGAGCAATGTCGCGTGCTGAAACCCAAATGTCCCTGGCCTATTTCCTTACCACGACGAATGGATTGTCCGAGAAAACGTAGCGCCAGGGATACTTGCAATGCCTACCAGTGACAGCTGGAATCACACCGAATGCGTATCCTGCTGGATTGTCGAGTGAAACGGAGGACAACGAGCCAGACCGCTTCTTGCCATCGATCGTTCGAAGGCGGGTTTCGTTACTTAACTCGAAAGAATGAATTCACTGACCGAGGGGAAAGCGGAAGAGCTGAAGACCCTGGTGGTGAATGCTACCCGGGTGGGATTGACCAACTGCAGGTTCACTCCTCGGGAAGCGAGAAGAGAATCGGCTGACGAACTTTGACACAGCGTTGTCAGAATTTGAGATCTGTTGTATGCAACTTGACACTGTTCCCTACAATACCGGTGGCTCTCAATCGCATTTCGATTTGCTTTCATGAGGCTCCAAGATATACAGAAAGCTGAGCAGTCATTTCGCTGTCCGAGTCATTCATTGGAAAGCTCATTCGTGGCCCTAGACCCCGGTGATATGCTGCCCATGAAAACCAAAGCCAACCGCAAAATTGCAATCTGCCTGCCCTACCTCCTCCATCGTCCGCGCATCGAGGCAAATCAAATAACTCGTCCGGTTATACCCGTCAAGCACCACACTCAGAAGCACCCCGTCGTCCTCCCGCGAAGGCTTGTCAACGGTGCTCGGTCGAGGCACAAAAATCGCCTCTCCAGGTGTGTGGCCTGTCGGTCCGCTCCACACCAGGACCTCCCGCGTCTGCGTGTCCGTCTTGGCAATACCGTCGTAGAGAGTGCTGTAACCGCGATCAATGAGGCTGTAGACGAAACGATGCCGCCGACAGGCATACGCGGGGTTGATTGTTGGGAGCTCGCCGACGTGAGGCGCCGGGATCTCCCACTCCTTCGACGGCGATGGGAGCGGTGACTTGACTTTGCTTCCTGGTGGGACGAGGTCGCTCCTCAGAAGCTTGTATCTCACTAGGCCAGGGAAGGTCTCTATGAGTCGTTTGCTGTCGTAGAGAAACTGCTCACCCTTGCCATCCCTGTTGAGGAGAACGTCGTAGTAGAGACGATGGATCAGCGTTGTGCTCGGGTACGCGACCAACTCGCATATGATGTTCCCCTCATCGTCCTCGAACGAATTGGTCGAATGGAAAAAGAACCCGGCCGGGGAGGCGAATTCGCCCACCAGCCCTTTGCCAAGGCGCCTGTCGATGACATACCAGTGACACTCTAGTGAATTGTCGAACGGCTGTAGCGCCTCCACGATGCTACCTTCCCACAGGACCTTCGCGCCGCCGAGTTTCAAATGTGACGAAGGGACACAAATTATGGCAAAGTTGCGCGTCAGGAAGAAACTATGGATGTAGGCAGGAGTACCGGTGAAAGAAGCCAAGATTGTGGTCTTGCCGGTTTCTGCGCTAGAGAGGAAGACGCGGTACACGCCTTTGCGGCCAAAGTCGGCGTTGAAGCTGATGTAGTCACCCGTCTCGGGATCGCGCTGGCCATGGGCCGGCGCTTCTGGTCCGCGCAGTTGTTTATGTAGCTTCTGGTGGCTAATGATGCCAAGTCGCTCCATCGTCTTGGGGTCGATCTCAGCAAACACAGCGGCATCGGTGCCGATAAAGACATTGCCTGGAAGGATGGCATAGCCACTATCTTTATGACCCTGGGCAAGACTTCGAAGGCCAGGAACATCTGCGTTTACGGTCACGCCAACATTGTCGAGAGCCGTGGAGCGTTCGATCTTCATGCTACGAAATACAGACGTGAGCTTTCCAAACATACCCATACAAGGATCACTTCGTTGGCTAAATGACAAAGAGCGGGAGGATCCAGAGTCTTTGATGTCCTTTCTCCAGGACTTCGGACTGACGGCGTGACGAATACTGAACGCGGATGCCGCCCGCGACGGACTCATCCTCGACAATGTCGAACCTATGCGTGTGAGCGAGACCGTCGAACCAGTGCGATATGTTAAGTGTTCCGGATTTGGTGTCTTCGACTTTGCAAGCACCGGGGCCTGTCCGATAAAGAGACCCGGCTGCCCAAGCTGGGATACGACCTCTTACTACAAGGTCAACGGGGCCGCGCGTCTCCGTCAAGCCGTCAAACTAACGACGTTCAGCGGTGCCTGAAGCAGCATTACTTCTGATTGCTTACCCCCGCGTCATTCGGCCATTCTCTGAAAAGCCCTCTGGCAAAGTGTTCGCCGACCAGCTGGCGTCCAGCCTCTTCATTCGCGCTGGTGAGTGTGATGGCAGATCCCATGACGGCTGCCGAGTATGTGCGCTCGCTCCGAGTCTGCTGCAGTTGGCGGCTACTGGCCTCTGCTTCTTCTTCTTCTTCTTCTTCTTCTTCTTCTTCTTTTTCTTGTCTTTTTGGGTATTCGAGTCCGAAGAACGGGCGCTTTGGAAAATTGTGGACAGCCCCGAGGAAAGTGTGAGATTAATCGGGGGCATAGTCATATTAAGATCCATTGCTTCGCATTGCACGACGTGGCCATCATCCGACGTGACCATCACCGGCACACCTCCAACTCGGCCACATCATTGTCTGCAGTGCCACCGACGCTACCCTCGAGATCTGTTCCCCGTTGGCTGTGGATGAGGCAGAGTATGCGGCAGCTTATTCAACGGCACTCGCATGCCTTCCGACGAAGCCGTCTGCCAAGTCAGACGACCAGAGTGCCGCCCGACGGTGCCGAGAAGGTGACTTGTGACAATTGGATGGATGGTACTTGAATTGGAAATCAGATGAGGTCGGGCTCTAGCGATGCTGACCTGCACGTGTTTCTCTCTTCATAAAGGATGTGGGCCATTGAATTGGGATTTTCCCCAGCTGAGCACCGAGCCGCGACTCTGGCGCTACTTAAATCTGTATATCCGGTCGCGGGCTGGAGTGAAACCTTGGTTGGGGGATTCGGGACCCTACCATTGGGATCGAGTGAACCGGGACTGCCATGAGCTGAAGTTTGGCCATGTCAGACGACTGACCTGGGCGGCCCAATGGCAATGTATTTTAACGACCAACAATCATCGTGTTCGGAGCTCACAAAGCCACCTGGGGCAATGCACAAATGCCTTTTATCCATGCAAATGGATACAACGTCAGTGCTGGGACCTATGAATAGAGCTGAACTTCAGCACAAAAACCTCGGCCCTGCCCGCCGAATCAGGGAATTCGCACTCCCATGCCTCCGATTCGCTGTGGCCCCAGAAAACATCCGCCAAGACCCCCTCGTCCTTCTCGTGATGTCGTTTGAGGGGGGCCAACGAGCAGAACCCCAAGTACCAAGCCCCATCCCCATCCCCATCCAAACCCGGTGCTGTCAGAAGCTTTCTATTAGCGCTGTTGACACTGTCAGCAAGCTGCCGAAGCTGTTTCGAACGATGCAGCGGCAGCCCACAGCGGGCGCGCTGCCCTTGTCAGGCTCTGGCAGCGCCCTCGACACCCCCGAAGCTTCAGGCGGCAGTCCGGAGACCGCGGAGGTTACAGGAGCCAGGACAGGCAGATTGAAGTTTAAACACTATGATGCCAACACGGGCGGCTTTCAGTACGTTTGACCTTCCTTTTTTGGACAGCCTCTGGCTCTTGGGAGAAGCAGTGTCCCAGCCCGTCCCCGGCCACTAACAGCAACCACCACAGGCAAGTCGTCCCCGGCATGGCCGTTTTCTCGTTACCGAGCCGATCCCGATCAAGAGGCGCCGGCTTTCCGCGGACCCGCACAGGGTGCAAGGAGTGCAAGTACGTTCAACCCGCCTGGTCTTGGTGGCGTGTCTTGTCTTCTGAGCTTCATCAACTGACACGAGGCCTGGCTTAGGCGGCGTCGAGTCAAGTGTGACGAGGCAACGCCCGTCTGCCGAAGGTGCATACAGGGTGGTCATCTCTGCGAGGGCCTCCTTCACACTAGTGCAGTCGTGCCCCGGCCGAAGCCCCGGCAGCAGCAGCAGCAGCAGCGGGAGGTCGAAGCTGTAGTGAAACGAATAGACGTCCAGCAGGGCGTCGACTATGTGTCCACCCTTTTCCCAGGGCAGCACGAGTGGGACTCGTTCATCGCCTTCGTCCAGGTGGCTGAGCAAGGGGGGTCTCTCCCGGCGGACAATGTCATGGAGCTGGTCCCGAAGGTGGCGCTGGAGGATGCGGCCCTCCGTGAGATCTGCTGCTCCATCGGCGCCCTCAACCTCCGGAACCTACAGGCCACGCGGGCCATCGACCAGGCGCGCCACCGTTCCTCGCTCGAGCACTACGGCCGTGCGCTGCGGGCTGTCGCGAGCGCGGGACAATCAAACGACAGCTTTCTGAGGACAATACTCGCTTCTTTGATGTTCGTCACGGCCGATATCCTGCGTGGCGACTCGAGGACAGCCTTTGCCCACTATGCACACAGTCGCCGCATGATGGCCCAACATATCAGCCGCAGGTCCGCCGAGACAGGCCTCGACGTGACGAGGCTGCCGCTGGACGTGCTCGAGTCGAGTGCTTACAACATGATGCAGCGGATCGCGACGCACCCGTGGGCGCAGGATGCGCAGATAGAGGCTGCAGATGCAGAGGGAAGACTCTTCCTGTCAGCTCTCCCGCACCGTCATCGTCTGCAGAACATGCCCATGCGTTTCAGCACAACCGAGGACGCGGTGCGGTGGTGGGATGTGACGCAGCACAAGATCATGAACACGATTCAGGCGTGGCAGGCGTCACAGCCACTACAGACTACAGCTTTTACGGGAAATACAGGTGATGCTGGCGGCGAGGAGACAGATATATGGGGAGAGTGCCTCGCGTTGACTGATCGTTGGAGATCCGCGTTCCGGCCGCTGCTCTACAGCGCCCGGCAGGGCAAGGGGACACAGCCGAGCATATACCTTCAGTGCCTTACACTTGAGAGCCTACTTCGTGAAGCAGTCGCTGCGCTCCAGGCGCAGAGACGGCTCAGACCAGACTACCACATGCGGCCCCCGGCTGCGACAACACCGGTGTACCTGGAGATGGCGCAGGAGACGAGGCGCTTAGTGTGGCAGAAACTCGACCGAGCCGCCGATGTGCCTGTGGGGTTGGAGAGCGCCCTCATCCGCCCGTTGGCATTCGTAGTGTACAAGACGCAGAACGCGCAGGTGGTGGATGAGGTGCGGGCCATCTTGATCGAGTTCTCAGAGAACCTTCAGATTGCGACGCTGCTGCTGGGCCTGATGGAGGGTAAGGGCGAGGGAACAGTGCTGGAGCTCATTGATCGTGGTTGGAAATGGCACTTTACCTGTGCTGGCTGCAGTTCCGGCGTCGCCAACATGCTGAGGGGTAAAAGGCAGCCGTGAGACTACAGTACGCTTAATCAAGACAGACGCAAGCCAACAGGCCACTTGTCTCATCTAGTGCTGACGCCCCATCTATGTTGACTGGGACATGACCTCTTGAAGGGCGCCAATGCTGACAGCCAGCATAATCCTGGTCAGGACAATGACAGCCAATTAACTTGTCAAGAGGCGGTCTTTGGAAATCGTACTTGTGGCATCGAAAGGACATCGGAAGAAAGTGTCAGGCATTCTGATCCATCTTGTTCGGCATCTGTCAACTTCAGTTGCCACTATTATGACCCAGGGCTGAACACAAATTACCAACCCCACGTGTCAGACTTCGGCGCCCACAACTCAAGCCTTACGGGACACTGCGCCACGCCGGGCACCAAGTCGCTGGCGTGTGGCAATACGGGCCTTTGGCGGGCTTGGGGTCTGGTGCTGGAGCTTAATGGGACCAGTTTTGGTGGAACGTTATTGGGGGCTGCAGGGCTCTGAGTGGACAACCCCTGAAGTTGAGGGATCCAAATAGCGCTGGGTTGACTGGTAGCTTGTTTCTGTAGCCTGTAACATTGCCTCGGCGTGTCTTGGCTCGCAGGTCTGGGCCTAACGAGGCTCACGATTTTTCTTCACAGGTTTTTAAAAACTTGACTTTTGGCCTGGGGACAACTAGCCTGTGCTGTCACATTCAAATTTTCTTAATCGGTAAATTGACGTAGGATGGAAGAGCTGCCCCCTGCCGAGAGTTTCGGGTCGTCTTTGGAGGGAGTTGCCTGGCCATGGTGACGATCGAACAGGATGGATGCCACACACAAACGTTGACAGGCAGGTGACGCTGATAGAAAGCCCAGTGCCACTTAATCCCCCTGGAACGGTCCGTGGTTCCCGCCGCCATGGCCCTGTTAACCTAAGATCAAGGTGAAAGAAGCTTGTGGGGATTATGCCTAGCGGCGCGCCATGGCCTGCTCATGATGAGCTCTCTGGCTACCTTACCTTCCGAGTGTCGAATCTTGACTGGCGTTCTACACTGTTCCGAACACCTTCAACCAGCTTGCACCACCTATCTAGGTAACACAAGACACGCCTCCTTGCTTCATCGCGAACGCCACCATGCTCGGCAAGCCAAGCGATCCCTGACGCGACCCGACAGCAACAACACCCTCTCGGGTTCTAAAAGAGCTCAAGGAGTGGACGGCTTGCAGAGCCTTCGTCATGCCCATCGCCCACCCGTGGGCCACCCGCTGCCACCCACATTGAAGGATCGCGCCATGACTACATGGTACCATGACTCCTCCCGGGGCTAGGGGCCGCCCTTGTGAGCCGTCGCTGTAGCGAACCACGCTCGCCGCAGCGCGAAGCCTGGCATACACGCTTGGATACTTGCTTGGCTAACAGTCGCTTCTGGTCCGATCGCCAGAGAGACCTCCCATTATCGCGCCCGCATGTAGGGTTTCACTGCGCGCGACCCCCAGCTTCGCCAGCCGTGACCACTCATCGTGTCGTGATGCGATCCTTCGGGGGCTCAGCCAGGCCGCGAAGTTACCCCCTCCCGCCGATCCTGGTCGGTCCCACAGTGAGCCTCTGTCGACGGTCCAGAGGGCAGTCAAAGCTCTTTCCTGGAGATTTGCTATCGCCGGGGTCCCCCTGGTCGTCATGAGATGGGTCTAGACGGGCTGCTGTTGCGAAGTGGACAATTTCCATGGCCCCCAAAAGGTCGCGGTGTCATGACGATTCCTGCACCGCGTTCTGGCTGGCTGTCTGTCTGTTTGTCGGTTTGTCCAGGAGACTGACCAGTTGCTCGAAATTTGTTCCTCGAAAGAAACTCGAAGACGCAGGTAATCGACACTTGACGCGACACATCGCTCATCAAGCTCCACCTTGCAACTTGTGCCGACTGCCGCATTACAGCAAGATGGCCGAGTTTGACCCTAACGTCTGGTACCACATCTCTGAGGAGAGAGTCACCAACGCATCTGCGCCCGTTTTCCATAACACGCTCCAAACGACGACCGATGGCCTTCGTGTCTTTTCACTCGTCGCCCAGGCCTGGCAGATGCAGCCCATCGACAATGAGCCGGGCCTCTACCTGATGCGCCACAATGCTTCCGGCGTTGGTCGACAGCTTTCTGTTTGCTGGGACCCCGAGGAGGACCACAAATCCAAGACTATCGCCTGCATGCAACCCAGCAGCGTTGACGATGCGCAGAAGCACTACTTCGAAGAAATTGGCAACACAGGTGCATTCTTGTGGAAGCCAAAGTCCAACAACTCAGACTACGCCATGGATGTCCACCCAGGGTCCAACCTCTTCTTGAACGACCAGATTCAGGGCGAGACGTCGGATGCCCAGCACCCGGCGCAGCGATGGGTGTTCAGCTCGGCACGAGATGTCAATGACGGTGCTTGGTCAACCATCTATTCGGGGGTATGATTTCCGGCCCCATCTTTGGTTTGACAGAAGTGATGCTAACGAGCCAGGAATCCGCCGTCAGCTCGGCTCCTCCTGCGGCCACCACAGCCGCTTCCACCTCCGCAACCAGCACGGCAGCCGAGACAACGCCCACGTCCGCCGACAGCTCACCGGCCGAGACGAGCGGATCCTCTTCAGCAACGAACGAATCTTCAGGCTCAGATGGTGGCGGCGGTGGTATTACGCCCGGCGCTGCAGCCGGCATCGGTGTCGGCGCCACCCTCGCGGTCCTGGGCCTCATCGGTGCGCTCGTCTTCTTCTTCTGGCGCCGACGCAGGGCCGCCCGGGCCGCTGCTGCTTCAGGCGGCAAACCCGAAGGCGGCGACTTTACACACCACATGCCGCCCTCGCAAGCCACAACGCCGGCCAACGGCGACACATACACGGCGTCGAACGAGCACAAGACCGGTGCTGCATGGGCAACGCATACCGCAGGGTGACCAGCAGTACAGTGCGGCAACACAACACACAAGCCCGTCTCAGGACATTCACTCGCCACACTCAACAGCATACGGGCACCAGAGTGAGCCCGCCGAAGCGCCATTCCAGCCTATCCACGAGGCACCAAGTCACCAGTACAACGAACTCGACGCGGCACCGCCCCGTTCAAACGGCATGAACAGTGTGCAGCAGACACCAGCGACGCAATACGCTGAGACAAGGCCGTTCTGATAGCGCTCCGGGAAATGATTTGCATGGGAACCAGGGTGCGTGGGATAATTTCGGCCGAGCCATGGTCCATCCGAGCGGCAGGAGCTCGTGTATCTTGTTCATTTCTTTCGTTCAATTTCTGAGATATCCTTCTGAGCTGAGCACATGAGGCAGCGTAACTAAATACTAGAAATGTATACTTCTGTCTTGGTCTGTTCCGACAATTGCCACTGGTACCCTGCCGGACTTCTCGACTGCTGGATCGCTTTGGACTGGACGAATCTATGCTAACAATGTGACCCTCAAAGGCCATTCGTGCCTACTACTTTTCCGGTGGTTGGATTCAGTCAGCCTCCTTATGATCGTCGTGACAACGGCAGGATTTCCTGGAGCCGTGAGTAAAGTGTGAGAAGAACATGAATTTCCTTCGTTGCAACTTGTTCAGTTTCACAGACAGTCTCCAAATTGAGTGCTTGAGTCAATACGACTAAGGTAGATCACTACTCTGCTGGAGATAACTCAGAATGAGGCTTTCGTGGCTTTCGCTCCACTCGTGATCTTCAGGGCCCCTTTTCATCGAAAGATATCATAGCTATCCGAAGCAGCTCTCCTCAGCCTTCATCTTCATACATTTCTTCGCGCCACGGCTCGTCTCCCTAATTGTCTTGTCAACGTATTGTTTTCTGTATACTGGTCACTTGAATTGCCATTCCATACCAGACACAAGCCGCTTTGTCATGCTCCGATAAAGTCATCATTCGTGACAGCCGACTTGATCTTCGGGTTCATAGCAGCGATAGAGCTAGAATATTGGTAGCTGAGGCATTTTTGTATCAATATGATACAGATAACACGGGCGTCGGTCGACTCTTGTCACCGAGCACGTTCAGCTGTCATACAATGCAACATGTGCTCCCTCAGGAGACGCAATCTTGGGACGTCTTGCGTCAGGAGGCACCTACGAAGCGACAAGACAAGAACTAGTCGAGGGACTTTGCACGATGAGAGACCGTGTACAAGGGCTACAACGGGTCAAAGTTCAGATGCGTTCCTTCCCCTTACTTAACAATTGACTGCGGATATCACCTACGAAAGACCTCTTCACTCTTCTCATTCCTTGCGCTGACATCTAGCCCGGAGAATAGGCTGAAATGGCTAGACTCCGACCATGCGAACGCAAGTTGTTTTTTCAGCTGGATACCAGTTGAGCAGGCGCTCTTAGGTGGGTCTCTGGCGGTCACACTGGGCCCGCGTGTCAAACACTCGGAGCCTAAATCTACACGTTGCCTAACCTCACGATGGAGCCTGGACAAACCCCGTAGCCCCATTTAGACCCATCCCACACAATCCCACACAATATTGTATCAGTCTGCCATGCGTTCCTCCCATGAACGGTTCGGTGGTGTAGTTGGTTTATCACGTCAGTCTAACATTCCATCATTGCTTCTTATGACGCGATATGAGGTTCACTGAAGGTCGGGAGTTCGAGCCTCCCCTGAATCATTTTGCTACCAAATACTCGTTTTGAGGTGCTTCTGCGGCGGGGCAAGCTTCACGCTTGTAATATTATCTCGAGGCACCGTAATTCCACTTCCCTTTGGGGCTTCGTGGAAATACTCACTCTCTTTTGCCATTTCATCTCCTGATGATAAGACGACCCAATAGGCTACATCTGTAGTGACTCGGACGTCATCGTACACACACAAGAGATCAAGTCAGGCAGGACGTTGGAAAAGTGGCATCGAAGAAGGTACAGTGCGTATGTGAAATGGTCAAAGTAGACACCAACGATACTTCGTCACTTGGTCTCAATTTCAACGCCTCCCCCAGCAAAACATCAAACTATACTGAAAAGAAAACCCTCCTCGCCCTACAAAGCAACAACGGATTGAAAGTGGGAGATGGTTTTACTGTACCAAATCCAAGCTACCAGGCGGTAAGATCTACATGCGGGCGTATCTGGAAGAACCTGATGAGTTGGGAAACAAAAAAGTGATCTAGGGGAGGTTCGAACTCCCGACCTTCAGTGCGCTCATTGCCTCGATTTGGGGTCAAGATTCATTGTGAGACTGACGTGATAACCACTACACCACCAGACCAGTTTTTGTTGTTGTCGTGGGGCTCAAAATTGAGATATATATTTTCTGCAACGTCTGTGCGATGGGTCAGCACGGAGACCTGACAAGGATACCGATGTCGTCGTTCAGATCAATGAACTCTGGCATTTTCAGATGCTCCAGGCTCGAAGAAAGACAATATTATCTATTTCGGTGTGACTCTAATATTGTTGAGGCTGTCAGCTACATCGCTCTGTAAGCTCGGCTTGCTGACGGCGTACGCTTCACGGCTGTGCGAACTACACTGGCCACAATCATCAAAAGACCGCAGGCCCCGAACTCATTTTGATGTTTCTGCCTGCTCACTGGAGCACCCAAGTGGCTTGGCCAGGGAAGCATTGAGAGTAATAGCATGCCCAATGATGTAGGGCCAACAGCTAGGAATTACTCGGATTAACACATTGTTCAATCGCAAATGCTGAGCTTGGAGTGACATGAGCAGCAGAAACGGAGCCACACTGGTTAGCTTTTTTTCCAAAGATCAAACGCTGCAAGACTTGCACAAAGACTTGCACAAGGTGTCGTCCTGGTCATAGTCTTCTTAAAAAAACAACGCGGCGAGTGGGCATTGTTTTGTGAAGGAGGTATCAAACTTGTCATTAAATCATTCCATATATGGACCGCTTAGAAAACACCCAGCGCCTTGGCAATCTCCTCACCGACGCCCTTGGACGAGGCAGGGTTCTGGCCGGTGATGATCCTGCCGTCGACAACGACCTTCTCGCCCATCGGGCCCTCCTCGGACTTGACGAACTTGCCGCCGCTGACCTCGTTGAGCTTGTCCTCGAGGGAGAAGTTCATCTCCTCGGTGTACTTGAACATGTCCTCACCCTCATTAGTGAAGGCAGTGACCGTCTTGCCCTTGAGAAGGGGTTCGCCGGCGGCGTCCTTGGCGTTGACGAAGGCGGCGGGGCCGTGGCAGACGGCTGAGATGACCTTGCCCTGGGCGTCAAAGTCCTTGATCAGCGCGATCGAGTCTTCGTCAAAAGCGAGGTCGAACATGGGACCATGGCCGCCAGGGTAGAAGACGGCGTCGAACTCGGAGGCACGTCCAGCGAACGTGGACAGCTTCTGGGTGTTCTCCCAGATAGCCTTGTGGTTATCAAGGAAGTCCTTGCAGACGGGGTCGGAGGAGAAGAGGTCGACGGAAATGGGGTCGAGGGGTGCGACGCCGCCCTTGGGGGAGGCGTAGGTCAGCTCGGCGCGGTTGCGGAGGACCTCCCAGGGTTGAGCGAGCTCAGGCTGTCTAGTGTCAGTGGGTGATGGAGAAACGAAGGATACAGAGCAGCTTACCAGGTACCAGCGATGGTCTTACCAGACTTGGGGAATGGTTATCGGCAGAAGTCAGGATGACGAGAACCTTGGGCTTGTTGTGGACGTCATTGTTGCAGGCGGAGGCTAGATTCGTTGTGATATTCGGTTGGTTGACGGTGAGAGATGTTCGTGGAGTTGCAGGAAACGATGGGTATCTTGTTTTCAGTGGCGCTCGCTCACGAAAATAGACGGACGAGGAGCATTCGAATTTATAGGCGGGTAGACACGGATCTTTGGGCTTCGTTGTCCTTCGAGTAGAGCTTCGAATGCTTCTGCGACAGGTGTCTCGGCAGGGGGCCAACGCGTTACCCCGCCATGATGCAGAACTCGCAGAGCTTTACTCGAGCTCCCCCGCCAGGACCTCACCTCGGCGTCATGCAGACCAGGGAGGGGCTTCGATTGCCAGGGGTTCACAGCTCGCAAACCTGCGATCAAGTCTGGGGCTAGGCACCCTTCGTCGGCGATACGGGAAGGATCCGCAGTGGGTATATCTGTCGTCGGACATGTTACAGCCAACTGCCGAGTTTGGCGCCTGCTAAACGCCGATGACGATTGGAGTTCCTCCGTTCTAACGTGAGCCTTGGTCAGCATTGATGCGAGTTCCTCCGCGTACATGGGGTTGCCCGGACAGCATGACATTTGGGCTGTGATCTAGCTAGTTGGACGGCCCATTGTGCCGAGTGGCAGGTGTCAAATTCGTCAGGCGAGAGATCACACAAGTTTACGTCAGCAGTATGTTTGGGTACGATTTCCGATTTTCACCTCGCAAGAATGCCACAGCCGCGAGAGCGGGAGTGCGGCTGCTCGTTACCAGGCAAGGGCTTCAATGTTTGTGATGCGTACCATTGCTCATGATAACGAGATGATGACCGACCGGCTGGTTGTGCTTGTTATCTGCGTCACTAGTGGGGCAGAACCAACAAGCCCACCAGGGGTCGGGTTGATTCTTGGCAAGCCTGGTACACTGCTACACCGAACGCGTTCACCGAAAATCTCCGTTTCAGAGGCATGTGACAGTTGAGTAGGGCCCAAGCGATCCAAGCGATGGAGCTCCTGTCAGAACCACAATGGGCATTGACGCCGACTGGGTGATGCAGGATTCAATTTACAAATTTGATTCGAACTCGTTCGATTCATTTCATGATTTGAATGGTGACCAAGCTAGGTCACTGGATCAAATTTGCTAGTATGATCGACTTTAATCTTGGCATGTTTGGTTCCTCGGCCAGCACAATCCGTTATTTTTCGGGTGAGGTTGTTCGGCGCAGCCAGCAAGGTATCCAGGCGACCTACAATTGTAACACCAAAGTACATCAAACCGTCTCCCTCTGCTCCACAGAGAGCTCTCCCTTCTGCACCTTGTGATCAGCAACACGGGCCTGCAGAGAAGGACCGGCGTGGCGACTCTTCCACGGTGCAATGTTTTCGTCGAAAATGACGTCGATTTCTTCCAAAGTCTTGCCAGCCTATCGATTTTCGTCAGTCAAGCCTTTAGGTTCAAAGAGTTGGTGGCCAGCGTACTGTTTCTGGATAGGTAAAGTAAATGTGCGGGATCATCACGGTACAGAAAACACCAAAAATGATGTAACTAGGCTTGTTAGAGGCTGCAGAAAGAGATGCCGAATGATAATTGACGCTTACGTTTGCCAGGTGATGTTCTCGAAAGCCGGGGGGACAAAAAATGCAAGGGCAAGATTGAAACTGCAAGTAAGAGATGTCAGCCAAACGGCGCCTGGCATTCTCAAGAGACTGAAAGTCGACAAGGTTCAGACTTACGCCCAGTTCGATGCGGCAGCAAGGCCGACGCCCTTGGCACGGTAGTGCAGTGGGAACACCTCGGAACAGTAAATCCATCCAATCGGAGCCCAGGTCAGGCCATACATAGAAACTGACATGTTAGCTTCGGGGGTTGAGCATGGAACCCGAAAGACTTACCAAAAAGATACATCATGGCTATGACAGCTCGGGCGGGATCCCCCGTGATGATGATTTTAAGATTCTCGTTGCCTGTCGAATGTCAGAGCGGCTCAGCAGATCTGCGAGATGTCTCGTGGACGCTCCCAGCAATACTAACCGTCAACAGAGTCGACAGATCGGCCGTAAGTAGCCATGACCCCTGCCGTTGCGAAGTGGATTATCAGACCAAACAGAGCACCTCCCAAAAGTAGCGGACGGCGACCGACGCGATCGACTATGGGCAGAATTACGCCGGTGGTAACCAAGAAGAGCACGTATTGGATGATGGAAGATGTGAGTGCTGTGTCTCCGGAGAAGCCTGCCATTTGGAAAACGAAGATGAGGTAGTATAGCATCACGTTGCCGCCCAGCAGCTGCTGCCAGACCTGGACGGAACATCCGGCGAGCGTCCTCTTCCAAATACCTGGGCCAAAAAGGCCAAAGATTGTCAGGTTCGAAGCTTCGCGGGCGATCCGAGCCGCCTCCTTGACCTCTTCCCATTCGGCGATGATCAAGGGATCGGACCTGTCGACGTTCTTGCCGTGAAGGCTGCAGAGTATATCGAAAGCCTCCTCCCAGCGGTCTCGCCCGGCCAGCCATCTCGGCGACTCGGGAAAGAAAAAGAGAGCGCCCAGAAGGACTGCTCCAGGGATGGCTTGAACCCCCCAGGCTACACGCCAGGCTGCGGGACCATCAATCGTGCGGATACAAACGTACGAGATGAGATACATGATCAGGATGCCTTGGATTGTTGTTAGTATTGAGCATTCGCGCCACATATGGCAATTTCAGGGAACTGGAGAACATACCCCATTCGATACTCCACTGCTGAATCCCTACGACCCGGCCGCGGATGGGTGCAGGGGCTAGCTCGGCGAGATAGACGCAGCATTGAGAAGACGTGATCCCGATGGCGAACCCGTTGACAACGCGACCAACAATCAGATGTGCAACGTTCTGAGACGAGGACTGGAGAGCAGAACCAACGAGCCAGATGATAGACGCGATCTTCAAGGCCCCCTTTCGGCCTAGAGGATCGGCTATAAACCCGGCGGCTAAAGCCCCCACGAGACTGCCGCCTGACATCGAGGCTGTGATGCCGCCCTGGAGGGTACTGCTCGGGTGATCAAAGTAGTCCAGGTACTGGTCGGCGCCGATCCATGCACTCATCGAACTGACGTCGAAGCCAAAGAGCATACCGCCGATGGTACCAAAGGCAGCCAGTACTATGAGACTGGGTTAGGAGTATCACGGATAATGCCGAATGAAAGATTGACCAACCGTAAATGTTGTATATGCGAAACATGGCGGACAAGGTCTAAGCATACTTCGAATAATTCGGGTGATTCTCTGAACCAGCTAACCAGAGGAGAGACCCGCCTCTGTCAATAGAACCCCAAAAAAAGATAAGACTACTTCAGGAAAGGAGAAGCAAGAGCATGACTCTCAACATTAGGCTTTCGGTCAACGCTGATTGCTCATTGACATATATAGGTTGATGGGGAGGGCTGGCAGGTGATCAGACCAATTCAATGGGAGGCTCGCCCCAGCGTGACCAAGGCTTTCTTTCGCCAGAAATGACTTGACAAGCTTCTCGATTACTGGATTCTGAGCTGGGCGTGAATCAATGGTCCATGGGACGATGTGTGAAGCTACGCGCACCAATGATAGAGCCCGGCACCGGGGCCGGCGTGGATGCTTGGCGAGAGTAGGACGTCATTGATGAGGAGTGCCGAGGCGCGCCCTTTGCCGGCCAAGAGCCAGGAGCGGCTTGCCTTGGCGGGTACATGTTTGGGCGGAGCCGCACCCGGGGAGAAAAGACGGGGAGGCGGAGCAGTCGGAAAATCGCACGGCCAAAGTGTATGTGCAGTACTTGACGTCGTGTGGGGCGAAAACCTGGGTCGAGTCAAATGTCAAGAGTGTATGCATCATTGCGCACACCAACCAGGAGCTGCCTATGCCTGACATACCTTACTGAAAGGACTCAATTCCGTCCCGCGAATACTTAAGCCGTGTTCATCTCAGTCAGCCCAGGTCACGGGGTCTCCGACGTACGGTGTAAGCAAGGCTAGCTTGGACTATATGCAGGGGTTGGCCTGCCCCAAGCATGGGGTACTGGTTGTAGTTGGCCTATACCGCTAACGATCGCGCCCTACCCGCTGGACAGGTTGCCAGCCGTTCGGATACGCGGCTGACCGGCCCCTGAAACTCAAACTTCATCAGATGTTCGCGAAGCTTTCTACCAAGCTTCGCTTTCGACGTGAATCCACGCTTGCCATAGATTATAGCCTTCTTGGTCCTGTATTCGTACGTGACAGTTTAATTGCGGGCGGTGTTTTGACTCCTCGAACCTTCTGTCTAAGGCTAGGCTAGGACACGGGTTTTTCATTCACCAACGGTACTCAAGTTATTTTTGGGGAAATGTTGTAAGGACCAATGCAGATATGCCTGTGCAAGAAATGCTCAAGGCCATTACGACCAAAATCTTCTCCATAAATCCAGACCCAGCAAGTGGAGAGCTTTACGGCAAGATACAAGCCACTATGGCACTTCTCCGGACAGAATACAGCCTACCAGGGCATCGCAAATATCCGGGTCTCCAAGGGTCCGACTCTATAAACAATTTTGACTAGAACGCAGTTAATTGCGGCGCCGGTTGATGTGACATGTCACTCATACCTTTCCTCGTAAAGTCGTACTTGATCGCCTACAGCAGATACGCAGCCGGCAAGGTCCCCTTCATATGCTCTAGGAGCTCCAAGACTGCTGGAGTACAGAGGAGAAACAATGGATCAAATGGCGTCCCAGCTCTGGTGAGAAATAAATAAATCCGAGTAGCGTTGCGCATGTTGTTGTTGGCTATGACTACCCATTTTCAGTAATCGTCCCGAAGCTGACAATCACGAGAGATCCCCATGGCTATCAATTAACGTTTGACGCACGACCGGTAGCACAGCACAGCATCACACTGCAAAAGTGGGCTCGGCGGAGAAAAGATGATTTGCAAGACAAGCAGTCGAGTCAGCCTCCTGCCCATGTGGGCTGAGTCTTGGCCAACAACACCCCAAATAGGATGAGCGCTGGACAATAGAGTTCGGTGCCTGGTCATGCACGACCTCTTCTCTCCTTATCATAGGTTGTTTCACAGAGTCGACTTCGCCTCTTTCGGTCCATCTCTGTGCGCAATCTGTCATTTAGGCGCTCGCGAGTCAACAAGCGCAAGGACTCCTCTATTGCTGGTATCAGGTCGCAGTGTGCAGGCCTACTATACATACAGAGTGGGACCTACGTAATGAGCCTCTGGCTCTGTGCTCCTGGGCTTGGACATTTCAGCGCTACAAAACAACGGCAGCCTGACTGCCTATGAGCCTGCGCAGCACGGTTTGCTCCAAAATAATTATATCCAGAGCTTTATGTTACATTGTGCAATGAAGGTGATTTTGAGAGTTTTGAAGGCTAGAATTAGCCTCCCAATGGCGACGTGAAATAGCCTTAGGAAGAAGTGGTGGCTCTGCCCGTTCCTGTTTTCTGTGCTAGGAGTTCGCCCATGTCTTTGACCGTGTCAAGCAGGGAATCAAAATCGAAGCATCTATGACTCGCAATTCAAAGCCCAAATTAATTTGGTTCTGGCTTAATCTATACCTTGATGGCGAGGCGCACCGCCGGATGGGCCCATGGCCAGTCCTCAGTTCCAGAAACGGAATGCTGGGGCCTGAGATGAACCGATGGGTGAAGCGTCCCATCTTCAACGTCGATCCGTGCTCGGCACTTGCCGTAAGCATCTATCTTTGTGGTAGATCGGCCTCGCCGTGACGACTTGGAGAGGTCATGGCAAACACAGGGAGCAACATATGGTCGAACAACGTAAGGGCTCAAACACAAGGCTATCATGCAAAACCACTATATAAGAGGCATCGGTATTCCCCCGATACTATGAAGGATTCATCATCAGCAACAGCTTATCTCACTCTCTACACAGCTACACGCTCACCCTCACAACCATCGGCACTCATTCCGCTTCAGTCTTCCCAGACCGTCACTCAAACCACTTTCTCTTTCATCCCCAGCAACATTCGAAATGCTCTTCAACAACTTCGTTGCTGCCGCTTTCCTGGCTTTCGCCAGTGTCGGTATAACCAGCCCGGTTCCTGCCACCGGTGACATTTCCGTGGGTGACACGAACCCCCTCATTGCGTAAGTCGAAGGCCTCGCACATATCTGGTATCCTCATCTAATACTATCACAGCGCTCGTCAGCGTGTGGTTCCTAAGCCTTCAGGCCCTGTCCCTGGTGCTCCCAACAAGGGCTCTGCCGCCACCGCCATTCTTGGGATCGCCGAGAAAATCAACCTCCTGATCCAGCAGACGATTGACAAGGACCTTGAGGTATGTCTTTTGCTTTTCTATCTGCCACATTTACTCATTCCTTCTCAGGGCCGCCGTAAGTTCACCCAGGATGTTGCCGCTCGCACCGCCGCCGCTTTCCCTGGACGCGGTGTTGTTGTTTGCAATGTTGGCTTCAAGACCACTGGTACTGTTGTCCAGCAGACGACGGTCAGGTACGACGCCAAGCTGGGAACGACTGTGACGTAAGTAGCCCATCTCTCCGACCTCCTAATTTGGCATTGCCTCTAACCTGATTATTCTTGAAGTTTTGAGGTAGTCGTTCTTGGCGCTGGAGCTTCCTTCACCCGCCAGGGAGATGGTGGCTTTGAGAACGTGAGTATTTATGATCTTCCGGTCACTACTTGGAGCGTGATGCTAACATTGATCTTAGTGGGCCTACAGCATTCCCGGCTCCTGCAGGATCAACCGCGAGACCATCAGCTGCTAGGAGTTGCAATCGTACGAAGTCTGCTCTCAGCAGCTGCTGCAACAAGGGGTTGCATATTTGAGATACTCTGGCCCTGTGACGATTCCTCTGAATCAGGGTAGACCATATTCATCTGTCTTCTCCTGAAGTCGCGATAAAAACCGCAGGATCTCGTAGTCTTTTACTGTAGACCAACCTCGCCGGGACGAAGAGCAAAGCTTAGTCGACGTAAAAAGTGCTCACCACTTGATTCCTGCCATTGAGTCTACATGCTCGCAAAGTGATCTGAGACCACTATAATCATATTGCGTCATTGACATGATACAAAAAGGTATCTGATGAGCTTATAGTATAGGTCATTCCAGACCAAGTGGCAGAGGCTCGAGACCGGCCTAGCTTTCATGAGGCTGCAAAAACTCCGCCTTGTTTCCTTTTACCAGTTTAGCTCCTGAAGGTAAGCTTGGTCGTCCCCTTGCTTCAAAGGTGGACAGAACCCAATGATGCAAAATTGCTGGCAGGAAGAACAGATAATGCCAAAGCGATATGAAGCCTCTTGAGTGGCAAGCAGACTGGGTACCTCAAAGCATGCGCGATACTGGAGGGCAGAACACCATGGTGTTCATGCCACCAGCCCCCAAAAATGAATCAGAGGCGCCATCGAGTCATCGATTGAAAATAAAATGTCAGTGCACCAAGACTACGGGAGCAACAACTGCCGGCCGTTCATCCCGTGTTGGAGGCTATTCTCCTGGATCCACAGCACCTCCCAGTCCGTCAGGCTCGGTCCTCTCGACGAGGCACGGGCGAGTCAGGCATGAGAGCATGGTCCCTCCAACCACAGAAATGAGCTGTGCAGGTGTATAGCCTCTCATAAATTCCTTGCCGCGAATCCCGTCCCTTGAAGTCCACTAGCCACTTTGCGATGGCTGAGGGACTTGATTATATCAAACATTGTCATGACATATCGCCTTGCGGCTCAGCTTAGATCAACCCCTCAGCTAAGATCAACCCCAGCTCATTTGCAATGTGAACCACATCGTGTTTGTGACAGAAAACAGCTTCAAACAAGAAATTATACTTTCATGTCCGGCCGTCACCTGCGTAGGTCTAGGTCTGATCCTAGGCTCCAGTGAAAGGCTAGCAATTATCAATATCTTATCTGAGGCCGCACTCGAGGGAAAACCTCACAAGCTTCTCTATCTGATATCTTTCAATCAAGCGCTGATATATGAGATTGTAAATGCACTAGCTCCGGTCATGGGCTCATATCCTACATTGATGACGGCCCTGCGTGTCCGATTCTGTACCATATCAACTACCTTAATTGTGCATCCCCCCTCTGTCGACCAATTGCTGACCTCGTAGTGTCAGTGGGCCGGTCTAGGGTATCCGACGGTCCTCCTCACGATGCCTCGTTACTGATTATGAAAGAGTCCATACAGGGATCCAAACTCAAGTCGCGCTGTCAAGTACCATTTTCGTCTGTAAAGTAACATGATCAGCGTGCACTCTATCTCTCTGCTGATTTGCGACTTACATGTTCGATAACGTTGTGGTTGTACAAAAAGTCCCTGAATTCGGCATCAAACATTGGCCCTGTATCAGCCTTCCATACGCCTGTTTGAGCCAGCTGGGACATCTCTCTGTCGCGATTTTCCTGTTCTTCACCGTCAGGCATGTGAATCATGTCGCCGTTCCGCCTGGCTTGGGCCGAGACGGCTTCACAGCGCCATTTTCGCGCCCTCTCATAAGCCTTCAGAACACGTGGGAGGTCCTCGGCGGATTTGGCGTAGCCGACAGCTACTGAGAGAGAACCTGCATCTTCGGTGGCCATTGCTGCGCCTTGGGCCAGGAATTGGAGCATGGCATGCGCGTTATCTCCCATCAAGACAACGCGGCCAGACTTGCTTGTCCATCGTGGAAGTCGAGGGACTTCGGCCAGCCTCCACTTGCCGACTTCCTTCGTGTGATGCAGGATACGCTTGACGATGGGATTCCATTCTTGATATTCCTCCTCAGCTTGGCTTACAGTGGCGGCGCGGCTCCATTCCATGGCCTGGTCTCCGTTCTCGTTGTGGTTGGCGGGATGCGTGGCGCCGAGGGTGTACATGCCGCCTCCGCACGGGTAAATGATGACATGGCGATTGTAGCCGGCCCAGATATTCGTAGCAGTGTCCTTGAAGATAGGAGCTGTAATAGGGTCTGACATAAGATCGTCGTGGTGAACATAGGCCCTAAAGGCTGACAGGGGGTTGAGGTTCATGGAGGTGTTCTCCTCAGGAATGATGTCGTTCCTCAATCTGGATTTGATGCCTAGAGGACCTGTCAGCAACCTCTCTTCACCAAGAACTTGAGAACCTACCATCCGATAGAACCACAAGATCGGCTGTCAGCACTTCACCCCCTACCAAAGCTACGGACGGTTCCTTCTCGTTGACAGTCTCGACGCGGGCATTCAGTCGAAGCTTTGCTCCAGCCTCGATCATGGCATCATATAGATGCCGTTGATAATGAGATCGACGCATGCTCCAATATGGCGGCGTCCCTTGCTGCTGCTTTCCTGCCTGTGCAGCTGCGATGACCTTGTTGTCATTCCACCTACGAAAGACAAATTTGGTAGGATGAATGGCATCGTCAGTCATTCTTTCAAGGATGCCGAAGTGTTTGAGTACAAGAGTCGCGTTGGGCGGAATATGGATCCCGACACCAATGGGCGTCAGTTCTTTAGCAGACTCAAGGATGGTGACGTCGTGGCCCTGCTGTGCGAGACCGATAGCAGCACAGAGACCTGCGATACCGGCACCTACGATTATGATTTTGAAGGGCATGTTGGACGCGTTGGGGTTCTGCCTGAATGTACTGAGTTCAAGTCGTAATAAGTCACCGCTTTGAAGAATGACTTGGTACTCCAGACGATTCAGAAGATACAGGCTTCTTTTTATATATGCAGCACACTCTTCAAGGTTAGCGGCTGGAAAGTGGCATTACGTCTGTT